ATATATATATATATATATATATATATATATATATATATATATATATATATATATATATATATATATATATGTATTTTGTTTTTTTTAACGAAGAGTATTCAACCGAACCCCCTAACACCGTGTGGGTCCATTACGAGTCGTAATACTATCGAAGTGGCAAATATACAATGTTAAGGGATCTTATGGTGAGAGGAAAGGAACCATTTGCAATAACAGACTACATTTACTCCATGTAGAAAAATATGTATGTTATGAAAATGAGAGTTGTACAAATTGAGGATCTTAAATTAACTTAACTTAGCACGTCTATCAGAGACGGCTCAATAGTATTGGAGGCCTGAAGCCAAGACGTAAATAGAGGCTTAAACTTGTTTAATAATTCTAGATATTTTTGCTGAAGTTTTTTATTTTATTTTTTTTACTTTTTGAGATGCAATTTCATTTTGACGGTGTAATCAACCCCTTTAATCTTTATTGAAACATTACTAACCTTTGATAAGATTTTATTAAGTTTAGTTTTGAATTTTTTCTTTTTACATGACCGTCAACATAACTTACTATATAGCATTGCCTCCCAAAATAACAACCAAATAGAAATTTGTATTTACAAAGATGATAAATATTTTATGATCTAATTAGCTTGAATCATGCCTACAGAGATTGTTGCGGCCAAACGCACACGCAAGTATACGCGGTCGTCAAGTAATAAAGTGACTAAAAGTCGGATGTCGAACCCACAAGGACTTGTGATTAACTATTAACTAAATTAGACTATCCTAACTATCTACACAAGAATTAAACCTAGAAATATTTCATTCTAAACTAATTAAATAAAGAAATATAAATAATGAACTTTCAATAGAGGAAGTGCAGATTTTTATGATATCAATGTAATGAAAACGTTCTAGGGTTATGGGCTATCTAACAATCCTATTGTATTCTTCAATTGAATTGACTAACTAATTTATCTAGTTTATTGGTTAACAGGGTTAATATTGCTCATAAGAATCTGTCAAGTTCTTACTCGCCTATTCAAGCTAACCTAACTCCTATATGTCTATGGAATTAGAATCAACAAGAACGCATTTATAATTCCTGTAAATCAACCAAGCAAGGCAATTAGGTATATGTCTATCCTAACCGCGAATCCATTCCCCGATGCCCAGGTTCAAGAACTTGCTCGACTCAATCCTATAAGCAATCTAGAATTCCCACTTTCGAGTTCAATTATAGATTCGTAGATAGTATTCAATTGGTGATCAAGCAATTAAATAATTAAGCGCATGATTGAATAAATAAACTAATATGATAAACTAAGAAATCAAAATCAATATCCGAATAACAATAGTCATGAAAGAACCACAACCCTAGAACGTGAAGTTTAGCTCCACATAGACATGGTAGCAAAATAACAAATCATACAAAGAAACATAAAAATTACTAAGTTTGATGGAAGAAAAGATGGAACTTGATGAATTCCGGCCTCCACGGCGGCTCTATGCTTGTGTTTTCCTCTCAAAAACGTCCTCCTCATCAAAATAGGTTTTAGGATGGCTTTTATATCAATTGGAGGCGTCTTGGGGTGAAAATAGCCGAGTCCAAGTCGAAATAGGATACTCTAGCGACCCGAGCGTCCAGGGCAGCGTGGGGCGCTAGCCCTAGCACTCAAAATAATTGACTACTAGAAACTGGGCCACAACGAGCGCCCCACGCTAGCTGTGGCCCTCAAAATTGACTTTTTGCCTTTTCTCTCCGATTTCGTTCCAATTCGCGCCCTTTCGTCCCAAATTGCATCTGAATGACTCCTACACATAGAAATACCATAATTTAGCACAAATCATCATATTAAATATCTCAAATCATCGAAATATGAGCAAAATGTGAGGCGATATATACCAAAATATACATACTTTAAGCCGATTATCAGAGATCTTGAAAGAAAATACCTTACAAAATTAGAGTTGTAAATAAAATTTATTCAAGAATTGGAGTAAGAAGAGATTTAATTGCCTTTCTCTTTCATTTAGATTTTCTCAATCAAATCCGAAAAAAGACAACATAAAATATGAAACTATGTTATTAACGATCGATGACAAGGTAGCAAAAGATGATTGAATTTCTTTTATCACTACTACTAATAAATACAAGTAATATTTAAATTACATATGAAAAGAGTAGCATTTGGGGCCTCTAATTTTGTGAGGCCTTAAGCGGCCGTTTTAGTGGCTTGGGGGTTAAGCCGTCTCTGACGTCTATCACTCATGTAAGGGTCCCATCACCTCATGAAGAATTAACAGAACTAAATTCATGACCCTCTTAGTTGTTCTTTATCTTCTATTCCCTTTCTTTTCATTTTTACCTTTAATTAATACCTTTTAACTACATAACCTTTAGCACTAGTATTTCCAAGCTGGAAAATCATCTAGAGTTGTGCACAAGATAATTTGATAAAAGAGCGTGTTGTAATGAGAAGACCACGCGTAGTATGTGTAAAGTAGCAAGTTTCCATGAGTTCTCCTCATGCTTATTAGCACTACCTTTTTCCCTTTTCACTTTCATCGTGACCCACAGATCAAGATAATCTATATATTTTTTATTACAATCAGTGGCGTACGTCGGATTTTGCACAAAAGCATTGTTGGTCTATTATCACAATTTGGCTTGCATTATATTTGAAATTGATCAGTTAGAGATTGTGATAATTTGAGTCTTTAGTTCCGATTAGAAATTGATATTTACTTTGTAATATTCTCATGCGATGTCAACATATTGTCTACATGTATCCATATACATATTTATTTTTTGAGAAAATGTTGTTTATGCACATATAAAAGAAAAACCTTAGTGAAGTGGAGTCGCATGACACCCCTGATCTCCTCCACTTGTTGAGATCGAATTCCAAAAAATTACGAATCTCTTACGATTCGAAAACCAAGTTAGAGACTACTACACACATACAGAAAATACCTCAACAAGTGGTGGACATGGAAGAGATTTTTTTGCAAATGCCATTCGTTTTCCAAGCTATAAATAGGAGAATTCGACCATATCTTGCAACAAATTGAGTTGGCTTGGACGTGTATAGGCTCATATCTCAAAGCTAGGGTAAGTTCAAAAAACTCCTTCACTACCAATATGGTTGTTCTAATGAGTGCCAGCAAGAAGAAGGTATCAATTGGTTGCCCAAAGTTTTTGGCTACAGAAGCTAAGTTGGGATCGACTATATGTGTCTACAGAGGATGTGAAAGTGATGACGATGACAACGATGATGATGCGTCAAAGGTGGCACCAGCTGCATGATAATGTTGTAATGTTAGTTCCTACAGCAACACATATATAGTAATACATATAGCTAGGTTCCCATTTTTCTTTGCTGCAGATGTTGCTCTATAACGAATTAACAATGTTGACATCTAAAAGAGAGAGACATGTAGTGAAGTGAGTTACATCTGTAGAGAAGGAAGAGAGCAATGCATGAGAGATATCTTCGTGTTTTCTACTTACAGTAATATATATTATATCTGTATATCACACTATAATCCCTGCCATTAATAAATGATGATGGAGTACTAATTGAGTGGTAAACCTCTTATGTTTTAATGATTTCTTTTTTTTGCCTTGTGGTACGAGCGACAAATTGCTTTTTATATTCTATATTTATAACTATGCAATCATGAAGGAAGCATTCCAAATTCATTGGAGGCATCAGGCATGCTTCACTTCGCTAGCTAATTTTTTTTTTGAACTCATATTTATATATCTTTTATCTTCTCCGAATTACAATAATTGGACTTCAGGCCACTGGCCTAAAGTTTGAAATGTTGATCCGTTCAAACTTCCGGCCAGAAGTTTCAAACTAAGAGCCATTAGTGAGAAGATCAAATTACATTTTAATTTTAGAGTCATTCAGAATTTAATTAATGTGTCTTTTCTACATGATGCAACTCTTTGTTAAAAGATGCATCCAATCTTTAGGACACATGATCTGCATGCAATGATGTATCCTATCATTACAATAGAGTGCATCTCTTCATGTATGTTAGTTATATTCACTCTCTGTAAAATATAAATATACATATTCAGTTACATATAAATATACATATGCAGAAAAAGATCTACTCCTTCTGGTTAGATTAAAGAGTTATTCAGAACTTCTATTTGGTTACAGATTAAAAATTAATTACTCATTGTATCTTGGGAGTAGAACATTTTTTATTTTTTTTGCCTGGATAGCACAGAGATCTACTCCAGGGACAGCATCTTTCCGTAGCGTCCTCGAATCAATTTTCCCTACACAAAGTTTGGGACGTGACACAAACACATGGGCTAGGTAGAAAAAGATAGGGTTAGGCCAACCATAGAACTCCTAAAAACATCAATCTCAAAACAGGATTGGAAATAATATTGAGTTATTCCAGTGTACCCATTGGTACTCATACAACCTTGAATTGAAAGACTGTACCAAAACTCCTAAAAAAATCCCCCGCTTGAGTTAATTAAAGTCTTATATATTTGGATAAGGAGAAGTCAGGAAGCTCATCCTTCTCAAATTCAGTCATTAATTACTTGTTCCTCTAACGATATGATTGCTTCAATTCCATCCCCACTTTTACTATCCATCAAAATAAATGAGTTCGGTACAAGTGGCCTCCCCCATCCAAAGTCCACATTGTACGTCGGGTAATAACAAAACCTGCTTGTTTCTCTATTGCTCCAGTTTTTGCGTTGAGGGTCTTTCGGAAGCAGCTTCTCTACCTTGATAATTAGGGGTAAGATTTATATACACACTATCCTCTCCAGATCCCATTTGTGGAATTCCACTGGGTTGTTGTTGTTGTTGTTGTTGTTATTGTTAGCATCAGGTGACCTATCTTGATGCTTATTTAACTTCACTAGCACTGTCAATAGCTTAGAGCATGTTTGGCCAATCTGCCAAAAATTATTTATTTTGAAAAGTACTTTTGCTCAAAAATAATTTTTTAAAATTACAGTTGTGTTTGGTCAGTTCATTTGAGAAGTACTTTAATAAGCAAATTGTGTTTGGATAATCTTTTCAAAAAGTACTTTTGAGTGTTAAATTATAAAAAAAATACAGTACATATTCAATTTACACGTAGTATATTATTTAAAAGAGAGAAATGAATTAAATATTTATTATAAAAAATTAATGCATTTTTCTTTTTATGTAACTGGAATATAAAATATAAAGTAAAAATATACATTAAAGATTTTAATCAATATAATGTTTATCCAAAGCAACAATATTAAGAATCCAGTATTCCTTATTGTTTACATTGATGATTTAAATATATCAAAATATAGTCATTTAGTATAAATTTAGAATCTACTTCATTAATCCTATATAACAAAAGAGATCTATTTATGGTGGAGAGATTATCAAAGAAGATTGACATCTTCAGACATGGGACAATGGAATCGAACATCCAAAAAGTTAACTCCCTTGTCATTAGACTCAATGAAGGCATTTTTACTTAAGGTGTGTTTGGTATGAAGGAAAATATTTTGTGAAAAGTATTTTTCAATTTTTCTATGTTTGGTTGATGATATTTGGCTTAAAGTATTCATATTTTTGTGTATATTGGCTCGCATATTTGCTCATGTCTCGTAGATTTTGGATGTGTAATATAATGATTTGTGTTAATTTGTGGTATTTCTTTGCGTAGGAATCATCCGGAGTCAATTTGGGACGAAGGTGCGTGAATTGAAGCGAAAATGAGAAGAAAATGGAAAAGTGCACATTGTAGTGCCACAAGCAGTGTGGGAGGCTACCTGTGGCGCACAAAACAGAATGCTATAAAACCAAGTGCCAGGGCTAGCGCTCCACGCTACCCTGGGCGCTAGTGACGTGAAATTGTCCTATTTCACCTAGGACTCGGTTATTTCTTACCCCCAAGACGCCCCCAGCTCATATAAAAGCAAATCTAAACCTATTTTGGCAAGGGAGACACTACTTTGAGAGAGGAACATAAGTACGAAACATTCGGGAGCATGGATTTGATCAATTCTTCCATTCTAGTATTCATAGCTTTTATGTTTGAAAACATTATTTTGATGATTGTTATGAATATGAGTGGCTAAGAACCTTATTATTCTGGGGTGATGGGTATTACATGAATGTTGACGTTTGATGTTTAAATTGACGAGTTTGATTTTATCATATTGGGTTATTTATTTAGTTCTGTTCTTGATTACTTTGTTGTGTAGATAACAATGAAATACTACTTACGAATCTAGAATTGAACTCAAAAGTGGAAATTCTATATTGCACATAGAATTGAGTAGAGCAAGTTCATGAACCCGGGCATCGGAAAACAGATTCGCAATTAGGATAGAAATATACCTAATTGTCTTGCTTGGTTGAAATATAGGAAGTGTAAATGCGTTCTTGTTAGTCTTAATTCCATAGACATATAGGTATTGAGTTAGCTTGAATAGGTGAGTAAGAATTCGACAATTCTGGTGAGTAACATTAACCCTGTCAATCAACAAACCAAATAAATCAATTAATCAGTTTAAGCCAAGAACGCAACAAGATTTTTAGCTAGCCTATGACCGTGGAATATCCTCTCCTACTGATTTTATGCGAAATTGCTACGTGTTTTAGTCGATCTCAACTTATATAACCGTGATAGTTTCTTTGATAATTAATTAATCACCTATACATTTTACGAAAAATCTCTTGAACAGATAAGTTATGTAAGTTTGAATCAATCAAAAGTTAATCATAAGTCTTCGTGGAAACGATACTCTACTCACTACTTTATTACTTAACGACCATGTATACTTGCGTGTGTGCTTGGTCGTAATAAATTTTTGGCGCCGTCGCCAGGGACTTAAAAATTAGCTACTTGTTCGAGTTAAGCTTTTATTAGTTATTTTTTCAAGTTTTAATTTTGAGTTTGCCATATTTGTGTTAACACATGCTCTTCTCTTGAATGTGGAGGAGTAGAAGCGCAAACAACCTCCTTCCTCTTGATCCTAAAATTTAAGGACCACTTCACAGGGTGAGGAGAGAAGTCGAAGCTTGAACTAGAATAAAGAGAGAGTTGGAGTAGTTTGACTACAACCACTAGAGATGGCAAGTAATGAAGAGCGTCCAATGATAGAAGCCGCAAGGCCCAATCTTGCTAATATGACTCAAGCTATTCTGAAGCCTGATATCACGGGTCACTTTGAGCTCAAACAGTACATGGTACAGCTGATTCAGTCCACAGGACAGTATGTGGGTCTATCTCATGAAGACCCGTAGCGGCACATTCAGAACTTCCTGGAAATTACGGATACTTATAATTATCCGAATGTTTTCAAGGACTATGTCAGGCTAACATTGTTCCCCTTTTCACTGCTGGGGGAAGCTAAAGAATTGTTGCAAAAGGAGCCTGCGAACTCGATCCACACTTGGGATGATCTAGCAAGAAAATTCTTAATCAAGTTTTTTCCTACTAAGAGGACAAAGTTGCCGAGGAGCCAGATTCTTAGGTTCCAACAAGGGGATGGCGAGAATCTTCGTCAGGCTTGAGAAAGATACAAGAAGCTACTTAGAGACTGCCCACATCACTGTCAGACTGATGAGGTTTTGGGTCATACTTTCGTTGATGGGTTGGATGAGACATCAAAGATGAATCTTGACTCAACTTTAGGGGGTAGTTGCATGGCAAGGCCGTATAGTGAAATCCAACTCCTGCTAAATAGTTTTACTACTAATGATAATAATTGGCAAGGAGATGGGGAATCACGAAGAGCACTGAAACATAAGGCAGCCGGTGTAATTGAGCTTGATTACTTCTCAGCCATGAGAGCAGATATAGCGAAATTAACAAATCAGATGAATAAAATGACAATGTACCAAATGCAACAGATGCAACATGTGCAATAGATGTCTACTTGCTGCGAATTATATGGTGACGGTCACACGAGTGACATATTCCCCACAAATCCTGAATCCATCTATTATGTGGGACAACAAAGCAGAGGTCCGATAAATCAGCATGTACAACATGGGAACACTTACAACCCAAATTGGAAGAAACATCCTAACTTCTCCTGGGTGGAAATCAGATAACTCAGAATTATTATAGACCCCAAGGAAATTACAGTCAACCTCAGAAGCCAACCCAGCAAGCAGAGGAGAGTACGAATGACCTGTTGAAGAAGTTGTTGCTTGACAATCAACAAATCAGGACCGATCAGAAATCTTGAGAGACAAATGGGGCATTTGGCGTCAAATCAAAATACTAGGCCGGCAGGCGCTCTCCCTAGTGATACAGAGAAGAACCCTCAAATTAATGTAGCCACACTCAAGAAAGGGAGGAAATTAGAAGAAGCACCAAAGAAGAGAAGAGATAAGCCTATACCTGAAGGGGAGTTGATTCCTAAGGCAACACATGAATCAAAGAAAGATGATGCAAGTTCGGAGCCAGTGAGTGCTGCAAGGCCACTACCACCTTTCCCCAAAAGGTTATAGAAGAAGAATGATGATCGCATGTTTAATAAATTTCTCTCTATGTTGAGCCAGGTTCAATTAAATCTTCCATTGGTGGATGTACTTTGTGAAATTTCAAAATATGCTGAGTACATCAAAGATATAGTGGCTCACAAAGAGGAGATTGACTGAACTCTAGACGGTATCACTTATTGAGGAGTGCACTTCGAGGGTCCAAAACAAGCTCCCTCAAAAGCTTAAGGACACTGGCAGCTTCACCATCCCTGTGGTGATTGGTAATATTGATGTGGGCCGTGCTCTTTGTGATTTGGGGGCGAGCATAAATCTCATGCCCTTGTTCAAGCAATTGGATCTGGGAGCTCCAAGACCAACCACTATGATGTTGCAACTAGCTGATAGATCTGTAGCTTACCCTGAAGGAGTGATTGAAGATGTGTTGTTCTAAATTGGGAAATTCATCTTCCCAGCGAAGTTCATTACCCTAGATTATGAGGCCGATGAACAAGTTCCAATCATATTGGGACGACCACTCTTGGCTACAGGTGATGCAATTATTAAAGTGAGGTAAAGAAAAATAATTATGAGGGTGGACAACAAGGAAGTAGTTTTCAATGTCTATAAGGCGGTCCAACTTCCCCGCTATTATGAGGAGCTCTTTATGATATCTGCTGTGGAGGTGGATGAGCCACTTATAGATTCGAATGTATATCTAGACGATTCTCTAGAGAAAGCACTCATGTTGTTTGATAGCTTGGAGATTGATGACGAGTTGAGGAGATGATTGATATTAGGCTATATAGATGATATTTACACCTTAATATTATCATGCTTTATTGTTGTTTCATAGGCGAGTTGATAACAAAATGCTCTAATTGGTGTTCTTTTGCTTTGCAGGGAATAATCTAAGTGAGGAAGCACTACAGAGTGTTTTGGAGTCAATAATGTTAAGAAAACGCCCAATCAAGAAGCACCCGAGCATAAAGAAGCAAAAATGGACTAAGGTGAAATCCACCGCGACCGCGGTGGAACCACGGTTGAACCGCGATAGACAACTACGCGAGGTAGAATGTTCAGCCTTCACCGCTGTCGCGCCGCGGTCTTGCCGCGGCTGCGGTGAACTGTTCAATTGCCAGAAAATTGGGGACCAAAGTGTAATTCGGGGAAAACTTGTTCCAAACCCTTATAAACTTTAGAAGCTCGCCCAAGACATAATTAAGCTTGTTTTAGACTATTTTGGAAACAAGAACAAGTGTGAGAAGATCAACCAAACATTAGAGTTTTTCTATCTCCTTTTAATTCTTGCAATTATACATTATGAACAACTTTGTAGTTTATTCTTATTTTGTTATGAGTAGCTAAACAATTATCTAGGGTTGATGGAACCAATTGTTGGTTGAAGTTTTGACTCAACTTGTTATAATCGAGCCGGATTTATTATATGATTGTTCAACTACGTGTTGTATGGTGATTAATTGAATGGGCCCTTAATTAATCGTGTGTAATTACCTCATATTGCTTGAGAAAGAATATTAGGTTAGACTGCTGTTGAACAACACCACTTTTGGGTAATTGAAGATATTCATTACTTGAACTTAAAAGTGGGTTTAGAGATAACGAAACTTTGGTTGGATAATTTAAAGCTGCACATATTGTCACCTAGAGTAGTTCGAGAGAATGCTCTAGTAAATTATTGTAGTTGATCGAGAGATAATTACGATAACCCATAGGTCTTAATCCTCATAGAGTATTACGGCGAGATTATAGCGAAAGAGTCAAGACCTAAACTAGCAATTGGGGAAATCACTGTCCTAGACCTTTTTACCATTGAATCATCTCTAATCTAGCATATGGTTATTTTCATTATTATTTGAAGTAGTTAAACAAAACCCAAGATTAATTGATAAAAATCTTGCATCTAGAAATTGGTTGAGTTGATACTAGCATTGCCAAAGAGTTGTAATAGATAGGTTAGTTCCCTGAGGATTCGACTCCGGACTTAAAATCGGATTATATTTGCAACGACCGCTTTGTCTTTTAGAGGGCATAGTTGGGCGTGATCAAATTTTGGCGCCGTTGCGAGGGAACTAACGGTGTTATTTATTACAACTTAGAAGTAGTATTAGAATTATTAGTTTAAATCAATTTTCGAAGGTGTTAAACAATCTTTTCGTTGAAATTCTCACGTTTGAACTCTTGTGGAATTCAGGTGTATGCCCAGAAATTCTTCGAGGACTGGAGAACTCTTGAAGGACTCTAAGACCTCGAGAAAATATTCAGGGCATTGAACCGTGCTAACAAGAGGATCCAACAATCACAACAACCACACCAGCTTGAAATTGACATGAGTGATGTAGAGAACGTCAACGGAAACATCGGGGACGAGCCAGTTGCCCCAAACGTCAGAGTAGTGGCACCTCTTGTGCCAGAAGCTGCACTTTATTATTGGGCACAGCCTACAACTGACAACCTGGCTACTGCCATAGCTGTGCCCCCAATTCAAGCGGAGACATTCCAGATCACCAACAACATGCTGCATCTCTTTACAGAATAAGGGATTGTTCTCCGGGTCACATATTGAAGACCCTCAGCAACACTTGAAAAATTTTCTGTCGATTTGTGTGACCGAAAGGCAGCCTAATGTGACCCTGGAAGCTATCAAGCTGTTACTGTTCCCGTTCTCTGTGACTGGGGAAACTCAGACTTGGTTGAATTTG